GAAAACACATATAGACTATAAGAAAGATACCCCTGCTGCTGCTGCTGCTGCTGCTGCTGCTGCTGCTGCAGCAACGCCAGCAGCAGCAACACCTGCTGCAGCAGCAACACCAGCAGCAGAAACACCAGCAGCAGCAGCAGGAGAAGAAGAAACACCAACAGCAACAGCAGCAGCAGAAGGAGCAGCAGCAACACCAGCAGCAGAACCAACACCAGCAGCAGAACCAACACCAGCAGCAGCAACAGCAGCAGCAGACGATGATGCAGCAGCACCATCCCCAGCAGCACCCCCAGCATCCCCAGCAGCACCCCCAGCACCCCCAGCAGCACCCCCAGCAGCACCCGCAGCACCCGCAGCAGCAGCAGCAGCAGCAGCAGGAGCAGCAGCAGCAGGAGGAGAAAAGGATGAGTTGGTGGTGCGTTTATTTAGCCGTAGCCAGGACGACATAACGGAGAGATACCCGGATGTAGTTGAATTGATTTTGGGGTGTATAGGCAGCTCTACGCGGAGCTGTATTATAGATGCTGAGGTTGTTGCTTTTAGCGAGAGAGAGAAAAAAATATTAAGCTTTCAGGTGCTAACAACAAGAAAAAAAAAAATAAAAAATATAAATACAGACACCATCACCACGCATGTTGCTGTCTTTGTCTTTGATTGTATGCACTATAATAATCTATCTCTTTTGTCTTCTTCTTTATCTACACGCCGCCGCTACCTGCAGCAGGCCCTGCAGCTGTCTATACACCCCAGACTACAACAAGCAATGCATAAAGAAATAGAAAATGAACAGCAGTTCAAAGAATTCCTACTACAGGCCATTGACAGTACGCATATAAACCCTAAACCCTAAACCCTAAACCCTTATCTGATCTAGAGCTCTCTGTCTTTGTTTTTTTGTTTTTGTTTCGTTGGTTTTTGTTTATTCGTATTCACCAGACATTTCTATGGTATTTTATTTTATTTTTATTTATTTTTATTTTTTTTTAGGGTTTTTAGGGTTTATGAGGGTTTACGAGGGTTTAGGGTTTTGGGGTGTACAGGCAGCTGCGAGGGTTTGATGGTAAAATCCCTAGAAGATGACGCCCCATACGAACCCTCAAAAAGATGCAACAGCTGGCTGAAAGTAAAGAAAGATTACATTGAGGGTTTGACCGATACCCTTGATCTCGTTCCTATTGGAGCTTTCTATGGAAAGGTAAACCCTAAACCCTAAACCCTAAACCCTAAACCCTCGGGGGTTTGGGTATTGTGGCTGTATAAACCTCTGTAACATTCAGAATACCTGCTTTTTATATAGTTGGTGGTTTTTATTGTATGTATACATATCTATAGGGATATATAGATATGTACATATATAGATATTTCAAGGGTTTAGGGTTTAGGGTTTAGGGTTTAGGGTTTGTGTGTGTGAATACCTGTACTACACATTTATAATTTTATGTACAGCACATATATTCATATATAAATATCAAAGGATCTGAATTTCAAGGTTTTAGGGTTTACAAGGGTTTACGAGGGTTTACGAGGGTTTACGAGGGTTTACGAGGGTTTACGAGGGTTTACGAGGGTTTACGAGGGTTTATGAGGGTTTAGGGTTTAGGGTTTATGAGGGTTTAGGGTTTGTGAATTAGGGCAAGCGAAGCATGATGTTTGACCCCCCAAAGAAACGCAGAAAACAGCATACAAATCACTCCCTGTCTTTTCTATAAAACCCTAGGGTTTAGGGTCTAGGGTTTAGGGTTTACGAGGGTTTAGGGTTTGTGAATCAGGGCAAGCGTAGCGGGGTGTTTGGGGCTTACTTGTTGGCTGTATTTGACCCCGAG